TATTGAGTATTGCAGTGAAAACTAAAAATCGATTCACCGTAGATACTCAATATATGAAACGTAGCTTGTAGCGTTGGTTCATATTCTATTATATGTGTGTGTATTTATTGTAGTATTAACCTTGCAAAATATTAAACAATATACCACAGTTAAATACTATATACTTGAAAATACTTATCTAATCGATATATATATATATATATTTAACTTATTGTTTACTGCTGAAGTGTAGTATTGGTACATAATATTATTTAGTAATATCACAATGTTATATTTATAAATATATAGCTTTTAAATGGTTCAAGATGGCATTCAAGTATACTTTATAGTTTAATATTAGTATTAAATACATATTGTATTGTTGCTAATGGTATGTTTAAAATAGTTTTTGAGAAAATAAAAGATGTAAATACTTAAAAATTAATTATAATAATATAATTTATCAAAAAAAAAAAAAAAAACGGCAGAAAATTTTCTGTTGTTTAGTATATTTTGACTTTCGAGTGTAAGTATTATATTCATTGAAAAGGTTACTGTAATTTTATTGATTTATTAAGTTTAAATTTAGTGATAAATCAATTAATAAAAATAAACCACTCTATATTTTTAAGGATACTTTATAGTTTATTTATATTATGACGAGTAATTTATTTTTATATTTATTATAAGTTGAACTAATTTTTGTAAACATAATAGTATAAAAATGTATTATGATATAATTTTATATACCTACTATTATTATTTTAAGTAAATATCAATGTACAGTATAACAATACGCTGTAAAAATATCCGTTAAGTATGAAATAAAAATAGCTTAAAATTATTCTTAATTACTAAATTTTAAATCAATAACATAATTCATAATAGAATATCATAATAATATAATAGATTTTTATTATTTTGCATTTAATGTATGTATAATTTTTATAGATTGCTATGAGCTAATTCTTATTTTTTATTTTGTTGTATTACTAAATTACTAAAATTAACATTTTCAGTAATATTTTGTTCAAGTCTAATAGTTATTTATGATAAATGATTTATAAATATTAATTATTATTTAATGTTGAATACTTGAATAAATTAAATGTATAATATGTTATAATTATGTTATCGATACGAAGTATTAATTACATGCATATCGAATACAATATTCCCGTTTAAACGTTTGAATGTCGTGTTAAAACGTAATAATATACTAAAACGCGTAACTATATATTTCAAATAACAGGAAATATTTACTGTCAAATTATACGTTTGATGCATTGAATATGCTTAAATTGAAAACATAACTACCAGTAAGTGTAATAGTATTTGTATAGATAATATTTTCTTTTTTTCTTTTAATAACTTATAACTACAAACAGACAATGATTTATTCAAAAATAAACAATAATATTAACTAAAAAAAAAAAAAAAAAAAAAAAAAAACACAATGTTTTAAAAAAGGTAATACTTTTAACTTCCTTTATACGTAAGTTTATGACTGTTTAAGACATTTTGTAATATGTAAAAACCGAGTTGAGAAAGTATAAATATTTGATCATCATAATTTTTAATAATTTATAATTAATGATTAAGTTAAATAATAATGAATTTATTCTTCCATAACTTGAAAATATCTTTATTTACAAATCACAATTATTGCGTTTTATTATCACATACTATATTAAATATTTTTCTAGTAAATATTAAACGCCTTACAAACGATGTGCATTGATAGACATTTGTTATAGACATATTTTCTGTGTATAATGATTATACTACTGTGCTTAAAATATGTTGGGTGACTTGTGTGATATTCTATTCTTAATTGCAATAATTTTATTAGGTTTATAAGTTTATTAATTTTTAAAGTGGCGGATTCGTTTAAGTTTATACTCATAAAAATACCTTATGAGGTTCCTATTTGGCCATTAAGAAATTATCGTGTAATATCCTTATATAAAGCCTATCTAGAAACTAATTTTATAAAATATCAATTATCAAGTGTAAGAAAGTACACGTTTTACAAATTACACAAAATACTTAACATTTATTATTATTTTTTTTTTTTTATATTAAAATTATAATTTTTTTAAACTATAACCTATTATGTATAATAAAACTAGTCCTTATATTATACAGTGATTAGACCACTATATAAATAAACTTCCATGTATGCTTACTGAAATGAAACTTTTACCCATTTTATTATTTACTTCACCTTGATATCAAAATAATTAAAAAGTAGTCACTAATTTCAATAAAATAAAAAGGTTGCGTGTTGCAGTATAACTGTATAAGTTATTATAGTTAAATTATATATATATATATAAATTTACGACATAACTCGTTAAAAATATTGAAGTCATGTTTTTATTATATAAAACGTTTAAAGATATTATTTTTTTTATAACTGTTGAACACATTAAAATATAATTTAACCAATCAATAATAAAAGTATGAAATTACATAGTATCATTAAATAATATATACTGTTGAAATACTACTATACTGACGCTTCTAGGATTTATCGCTTGAAAATTAATTGTGAAGGGCTTTTCTATATTTACTTACCCTTTCACCGTTCGTTTACATAAAGTACATAACGTTAACAAATAACATGTGTAAAGCACTTTACAAGATTATTAAATTATATTCTTAGAAGTAGGTATATTAATTATATTAATTAACTAAACTTGGTTATTAACTGTAAATCAATAATTAAAATAGAATATTGACAGAATCCATCCATAAATATGGTATTTTAAAGAATAAATATTTATTTTTGTACATTATTGCGTATTATAAATATGCGTAATTATGATTATTTATTTTTTATTTATAGCAAATCGTGTAATATTACCGATTAGCTTTATCCAAGTACGATTGAAATTAAAGACCCAATTCTATTACTTTCAAAGTTCATATATATTTATATTTATAGAAGCTTTACTATACATTTCCTGGGTGTTCCATATAATATGTACAGTAAATATCAAATAGCACATTGTGTTCTGGCACTGCAGATTTCGTCGGATGCTATTATTCGCATCGACACAACAATAGGAATTTTCATGTGATGCTCATTGTTTTTCAATAAATTGGTGTAATTAATTAATTTATTGTACCGCACATATCAATGAATTACATTTCTAACGTGAGTAATCGATCGATTTACAACAGTGTTATAAAATATAAGAATACTATAAGTAAATACCCTGTTTAGTGGTCCTTTTGCAGTTAGTTAATCTTATTAGTATCAACAGTTATTAAAGTGTTTTCAAACGATATATTTTTAATTTTATATTTCGAAGTGGAATAATTTTCTGAAAATTGTTTTATGTTTATTTAGTGGTCTATTGAATTAAAATATTTTATTAAATCATTTATAAACATAAATGATATAGTTCAAACATAATTATATAAATAAGAAATCAGATTTAAACTCCCACTTCCATAAAAATTTAAATATTTATAAGTCTTCGTATAATCTGTGATCAAGCTTTAAATACTTCACTTTTGCTTAAAAATCACTTAAATAATATTACGGTAGATGGTAATGATCAGCTCCCGTAACGATAGTATTAATTACAAACATATAAACTGTGGTGCTGATTTTTGAACACTTAGAACTTCTGCTTTCACCCGTGGATTTTGCACCGATTAAAAAGCATTATAAGTATCATTATAAGAATAATCAAATCTATCCTGTCAAACCTGTTACCTGTTCTCAAGACTAATATTATGTCACTCAGTACTCCGCAGTTTCAACACAAAAAATCATTGCTCAAAGAATTAGTGGTGTCATTAGTATCCAGATTCCAATACTATTCGGATAATCCGGATATGACGGATAAAATTCAAATTAGCCGAATAAATCAAATAATCCGAATATTTTAAAATTGTTACTTATTTATTAAAAATTTAAATATTTGTTATTTTATTTATAGGTTTATAGAACTATGTTTTATTTAAGTCCGTAAAACTTAAAATTTAAAATTAAATTTTACGTAAATATTACATCTTTAAAAAATTTGAATTATTCAGATTATTCGAATTATTCGGTTATTAAATTTTAGCTTCAGATATCTGAATAATTTGAAAAAAAAATCCGGACTTTTTACATCACTACAAAGAATGGACTAAATGCAAAATTGATTCTACTTTACCAATCCATAATTACTTTAAATTCAGTTATATGGTTCATTTAGACTTAAACCCGTAACCCTCATTAGAAACCGTTGTCTTATTTAATAATGTTTTAGCTGTCTTGCTACAATGTTACTGTATACCTGGAAAAAAATTGGAATCATCAGACTAGACTAGAGCATCTTTATCTCCCCTTAAGAATCTCACGAGTGTAGGATCCTATTACAATTTTTCACGGAAACATGGTTAACTACAGACATGGGTATTGGAGATATGGGTATCTTCTTTACAAACTGGACTTTGTTCTTAATCCTCACTGTGATTGCTATTACTCAATTTTCAAAGCTTAGTACACAGTATGCAAATCTACCATAAAAAAAAATTCAAAGTAAAATGTGGAACAAATCCACAATTTTACCACCGAAACAAGAAATATTTATGTATATTAATTTATAATTTATATCGAACTTACCATTTTAATCGTTTAAAAACACGTAATTTATTATTCATAATTATAACAATTGTCCATTTGTCTTATTAATAAATAAGCTTAATAGAAGTGAATACCATGCAAAGTTGTGGTACACTATAATATTCCACTCATGGTTCATTTTACTTTACTTTATTATCTTATTAACAATTAACTATTGGTTCAGTATCATATTTTTACCTATTTATATTGAAATTGTTTGGAAATTATTTTACTATTTAAATTATAATGAGAATCTAAACTAATAAAAATAATGATTTTTAAAATCAACAAAATATCAAGTTCTTCATGCGCTGCATATTATTTTTTTTATTAGAAAATGATAATTATAATATATTATTATTATTAATTACTGTTTTTTATGTTTCTTATTTAGATAAAGCAAAGAAAAAGTATGGATATCTGTGCGATGTCAGGGACGGTGGTTCCATCAGCGAGGTGTTGGTAGTAATGTTGGAGAGGTCTCCTGGTTCCGGTCTAGGTCTTAGTTTATCCGGTCACAAGGACCGAACGAAAATGGCGGTCATGGTGTGCGGATTAAATCCCAACGGTCCGGCCGCAAAGTCCGGATGTTTACAAGTCGGCGATGAAATTTTAGAGGTATGTATTCTAATATCGTAATAAAACATAAATTGTATTGCTATATAAATGTACAGTATAAAAGACATCCTTAGGGAAATTTAATGAACATTTTTAAACGTCGTAGACTTGTAACATTGATCCATACCCTAATAGTTAATACGTCACTTATTTGTATATCATACTACATATATTTATAAAAATTTATTTCATTAAACTGATTGGAATAGGAAAAATAAAACACTATTAACTTATAATCTGTAGTTTCTTGATACTTAAGGATATTATTATAATATTTTACTACTATATGTATAGTGTATACTGTATTAAAACTGTATTGTATATTTTAATGTTATAGAATACCTTGGTAATAATAATGTTAAATTAATATAAAAGCCTAGCTGCTGTCCCTATAACTTTCATATACTCGTACTTACATACATTTAATGATAAAGCCTATAATAGGATAACTTCATTTTCTAGTTCTAAAATATAGAATACAAAGAAAATATTGTAATAGTTTAATTTATTTTAAAATCACAAAAATGTATACTATTGGATTAAACTTTTAAGTAAACTATTTCTTTGCATAATTAAAACATCGTAATAATTGAATAGCTAAACCTATTAGTATAAATTGTTACAATGTTAAATGTCTAAAACACGCTCGATAGGTTGTCATAGGGGAATACAAGGGAAGAGTATTTCTGGGCTCATTGAGATTTTTAAATTATATCTGTTATTATTATATACATATAGATAGAGTAATGGAAATATGTAAAAAAATACTGAATAATCAATTAAGATTTTCCCAAGGCTCATAGGTTTCATAACAAATGCTTGTTAACGTCTATAGTTGTTAAAAAAATTAATTTATAAAAAGCACATTTATGAAAAATATCTATAGTTTAAATATTATAGTATTATAATTTACCCATACATTTCCTAACAATAAACATATAATATTCTAAAAGTGTATTTTAGTATGGATTTAAATATATCTCATACGTTTTTTATTTATTTATATTCACAATATTGAAAAATTGTACTATACCTACTGAAACGCTTTATATTATATACTAAGTAGTATTATGTAATATAATAATATACACAACAACGGATAATTAAAATTAAAAAATAAATAAATATATTAATCAGACCATATTGAATATTATTTAGTACATATTCAATCTTAATAGCTGTTAATAATATGAAGTTTTTATCAATGTTATGTGTAACGTATTGCTGCAGCAGAAAAAAATTCCCCATTCTCTACAACCGTACTCTTATGTCTTACGCGGCGTATAATAAATCAATCTACGATAAATATACAAGAAATCAGTTTATGGGCCGGCTTTTTCAATACCCAACACTATAGCTTCGTGCTATAACATATATTTTTAAGTATTTATAGGTGTATATTTAATATAGGATATCTTGTGCATTCGTATACATAATATTATAACCTCTCATCGTTTACCATATAAGTGGTATTAGATTATGATGAATGTACGCGCAGTTTGTACTCTTTTTGTGTATATGAACACGTACAATATTATATTATGGGCAGGGAAACGCAAAATTCCTAAAGCCAAATTGAAATCTGATACAATCTGCTATAATATGATATAATCTTGTCTCCGCATCGTCTGTATATAAATAATATAATATAATATAATATAATATAATATAATATAATATAATATAATATAATATAATATAATATAATATAGTATAATATAATAATACGCGTACAACGATTGTACCTTTATCACCACATTTATACCCCACGTTTATACAGCCCCGTTGTCGTGATATACCCGCAAGCTAGAATCATACCCGTTATTCATTACACATACATAGCACGACGGGAGGTTGTATTTGTATAGAACTCTGTTTACGTATACAACTGGTGTGTATAAACGAACTAAACATAAACTTACCGCAACGGCGGTCGGTATTTAATATTTATACTGCATATTATTATATAAGTATACTCCAAAGACTAATCGGCGTGATACCATAATTGATAACCCAATGACAAAAAGTCGTAGTCGTCATCAATGTTAGCGCGTCGAAACCGAGATAGTGTTTAAACGGCGACCGTTGTTTCAATATCATCTAGAATTTTACTACAGTTACATCGTGGCTGCTCTGCCGACTAGAGTATACTCTGGACACAGACATTATAAACTGCATCTACGTGCGCAGACGATTTACAGAGTGATTCACAAAGCATACTTAGTACTCAATTTCATCTAATTTAAACATTCATTTATTAAAATTCTGATTTTTTTGAATTTTTAAATATACCTAAAGGCTAAAGTACCTAAAGACCATATAATTTTCAAACTTTTAAGATTGTTCGTATTGTTTAATCAGTATCCTATGATGATAAAAATTTCTGTTTTCAAATGAAAGCCCCTCTTATTTACTTTAGATACCTTAATGGTTATTTTTTTCGAAAATTTACTTAATTTAAATGTTGGACTCAGAACTTTTAAAATAGTTTCTCAGTTATAAAATCGGATGATATTTCACAAAATGTAGAATAGATATAACATTGGATCAAATATTTATTCATCACTCTGTCAAATTATAAACAATAAATAGTTATATAAATATTAATATATTTATCAATTGATAATTAATATAACTTTCAAATCACTATAACCCCTTTCAAATTCATTCTTATGAATCTATTGTCATAGGTATAAAAAGTTAAACAACTCTAAATTAATCCTTTGAATTTTGATTTTGACTACATTTTCTGAAAATTTTATTATAAAAAATTCGGAATTCTTTTATTTGAATAAAAATATCAAGAATTTGAAAATATAAACTTTAACTAGTATATTCTAAAAATCAGATTTTCATCCTTTATGTAGTATACCTATATTATCCATATGTGGATTCAGGATTTGTCATATATATTTATGTACTTATATGTATGCCTGTATGTATATTGAATCATCTGTTCCTTTCTTTAGTAATTTGCATAGTATTTATTTGACTATTTGAGTTATAATTTTGTCAAAAATATAAATCTATCTTATTGTTAAAACGCCATATTATATGCAACTGCAGTGTTGTTATTCATGTCTTTACGACTGCTATTTAGAATTGGTTGTTGATATAAATAACCATAATATATATATAGATATGCACCGCCTTGATCCTTTTCAGAACGAGCATTCGTTATTTTCTTTACTTTTTATTGCTTTTTTAAACATTTTCCTATCAAAAAAGTTATAATAAATATAATTCTAACATTTTTATTTTACCTTTATTTTTTTTACTGTTTATGTTTGCTAAAAAATTAACTAGCAATTTTTTTATTTTTCAACTCTTACCTATCTCAAGTGTAAGTTAATTAAATTTAGTACCTATTTATATTTTATATTTATAAACAATAGTTTTTATAAAAATAAACTGATTGTATACCTGTATGCATAATTTTGTAACAAAATACAAATTTAAAAAAATATTGATCATTACTAGAACATTGTCGTAATAGAATTATATTCTTTAATGTTTAAACAATATCTATTTATTATTTTTTTGGTTAAATATATTAGATGAAAAAATTTTTAATTAAAATATGGCAACCTATAAGATCTTATCGTTCTCTTTTGTAGTAATGTAGTACGTATCGTATTTTACTTTGGTTAAAGGTTATGCAATTCTGTAGGATTATGGATTTAGGCGGATTTTCAACTGACGTGTTGAAATTCAAACTATCCTACCGCGAAAGCACCATTCTTTAAGCTTTTATATAAAAGAACACACATTATTTTATTTCTTCTTCTATATGTATTTCTCTACTTATATTTTGTGTATAAAATAATAAATTATATATCTAGACGATATATGGTTATATATATATATATATTATAGATACTACAATAAAGCATCCAGTAACAATAAGAAAAATACAAATCATTGACTACAACTATTATCTTCACTGCTAAAAAACATACACATTTATATATCTATTGTTTCTTTTAATCAAAATCGAAATTACAAAAAACTTATTAAACAATAATAATAACGCGCAGCTGTGCTAAGTATAATAAATATACAGAATGCTCCAAATTGTATGACCAATTTAAATTAGGAAAAAATTACTTATATAAAAACTATTTTCTGTTAGATAATTTAATCAATTTAGTATTAATTAAACTTTTTATTAAGTAAAAAGGAAAGATTTTAGAAATAACTTTTAAAATTTAAATGGAAACCTCTACTTTTAAAATATGAATCTTATACAGTTTACTTTTATTGAAATTTGACGAGCCATTTATATATTTTATGCGTCAATAATTAAAGAAGTTATTGACATTTGAATTTTTTTTTAATCTGTAAATGCGATCAATGAATAATAATAATTAGTAATATTGAGTATTATATACTCGTACTTTGTGCTTTTGTAATACGTTGATGCATTGTTGTACAACCTTAATAATCTGTGCACTTTCTAGCCATCAATTTATTACAGTAATAAATCGAGTGTTTAAAATCTTAATTGAATTTTTTATTAAATTGGTCAAAATCACATATAACTGTGTTGATAATAAAAAAACGCATCAAGTAGCATAGTTAGTTCTATAAATACGCATTTATAGTAAATAGTAATATTTATAACTAATGCTGTTATTGGAAAAATTTTTATTTTTTTAATAATTTTACATAATATTTATTGTTTATAATATAAAACATATATCTTACAATAGTTAAATATTTAAATGATTATAAAACATTGTTGTGCTAATAATGTTATACGACAAACAAAATTAGGTATTCAAATTTTTAAAAATACCTTTAATTTTTGACTAATGAAAATATTATTTGAATCAACTTAGTATTAGATTACCATTTCTATTAGTACTAAAAAATAACAACATCGATTTAAAAAAAATTATACTTCACCTCTGAAAAGTCATAAGCCTAGTTATAACTAATAATATAATTTTAATTTTATTACAAAAGGCAGGACACAAAATATAAATTAAAACAAAGAT